CTGGGCTCAGCGTGTCAGGTGTCTGTCAGTGCGTGGGATTACAGACCCCGTGGTGCTGCTGAAATGCCAACCCGTGGCCTGGTGGTATTCCACCCGTGACAGGTCGAGGATGCTTGGGACAGTTTTCTGGGATGGGGACAGGTTTCTCAAGGTTTTCCTTCCCTTCTGGAGGTCGGGTGTGCTGCAGGGAAGCAGAGCAGGGATCCTGCAGTGTGAGCTGTATGTGCCTTGGGGAATTGGGTGCAACAGGCCACACCAGGGCAAGGACAGCTGCTGGTGGATCCGTGTATTTCCTGTGCACCCAGGAGAGGAATTCCCAATGCCTGCGGGGTTCCAGCACTGAGCTGTATTCCCAGTCCAGCCCCTGGTCGTGCATCCTGCTCCCAGCACTGTGTGCCAGAGCCAGCCCAGGGCTGAACCCTCAGTAGCTGCTGGAAATCCATCAGGAGCTTTGCTGGACTCCCAGCAGGGAGGGAAGGACTGGGGAAAGCACCAGGATTGCCTCAGGACCACCTGCAGAGTGACATTTGCTGGAGAGGGACCCAGCTCCAAACCACCGAGTGACACCTGCAAGTGACAGCAGGATTTGAGATCCACCCCCACCCCAAACATTCCAACCTCTTCCCCCTCTCTGCAAGGCTGTAGGTACAGAAAAGTGCAATATTTGAGGATGTTTAGGGGTAATCTGACCCTATGAGCAAAGACATAAGACTGGAAAAGCCTCGGGCTGTTTCTGGGTGGTTTTTGGGGATTGTAGCCCTGCTAGCAGCACGTGAGCTCATTGCTGGCTCAAAGGAGCTTGGTCCCAGTGTTCTGTGTTCCCTGGATGGGTCTGGAAGGGATCCCTGGCGCTGCTGGAGGCTGCAGGACTCAGCCACAGTGGGGTCAGTCCAGGGGGTCCCCTGATCCTGCAGGAACCTGGTGAGCTCTTGGCACTGTCCCCAGGCCTGGTGGCACAGCAGCAGTGTCACTTGAGGTTCAGCCTGCCAGGGCAAGGGCCAGAGCTCCTGGGGCTCAGGTGTCTCAGAGGGGGGGTCAGTTTGTCTGCTGGATCCCCCCATCCCTGCTGGGACCCCTCCTGTGCCCCTGGCTCTGCTCCCTGCTCTGCTGGACACCTCCTGTCCCACTGTGCCATTGCTGGACCCAGGGCTGAGCCCCGAGGTCCCCAAAGGGTTTTCTCTCTGACTTTGCCTTCCCCAAGCAGGTTTGAGGTGTGTTCTGTCCAGTGGGGCTGGAATTTGGCAGGTGGTTGTTCCTGTTCGGGGCTTTAGAGCAGCACCTTGTCTGTCAAACACTGATCTTGGGATCTTGGGAGCCGTGGCCAAATCCGTGCCAGGACAGAAATCCCTCTGGGTTCAGCTGGCCCTGCAGCAGTCCTGGGGAAGAGAATTCCCATCCCACAGAGAAAACCAAGCCCAGACTCCAGGGACTCGTACTCCTGGTGAAGCTTCTGACCTCTGATGCTTTCTGGAAATGAGAGAATTCCAGGGTTCTTTGGGGTGGTTTTTGTACATTTGTGTAGCCTCAGCAAATCTGTGTAAAGTCTGTGCTGATCTGTAAAATACTGTGCAGAGAACTTTGAAAGTAATTGTAAAATATTAAAAGTTGATTTATTTCCAGTACAGGAGCAGTATTTGGGTCAAGGAATTCCTGGGTGGGTGGGAGGCAGGGGAGGAGGCTCCAAGTCTCCTCAGAGGAGCTGACCTGGGAGCAGGAAAAGGCTCAGAGTCATTGGCAAAGACAATTCCAGGACCCATCACAGCACCAGGATTTTTCTTTCAGGTGCTCCAAAGTGTCCTGCTCACAGGTGAGTGACCAGGGATTAACCTGCAGGTAGAACCTGCGCAGTCTTCATCAGTTAAATGGTGTTTTCCACCCTCACAGGACATCCTGAAATGCTGCCCAGACTTGAATACTCTATGGTTTATTAATGCCATCTTTTTATCCCCTTAGTATGTTTTTTTTTTCAAGACAAAAAAAAAAAAAAAAAGGTGTGTTGGAGATGAGTCAGTTTAGAGAAATGAAAAAGGCAACTTCAATGGCACCACAGTCAGCTTGGCTTTCCCTTTCCCCAGATCCCCTCATCTTCTATATTTGCTGGAGCTGGACTAGAAATAGAACTGGGCTGAGGCCAGGGTAGGAAATAGAGCCACAGCATCAGAAGTGTTCGGTTTGAGACCTGTTCCCTTCCCAAGTGTGGAAATCGCTGGGGCTGGGGCTGGGGCTGGGCTGGGCTGGGGGTCCCTGCCAGGGCAGCTTTCCCTGCAGGAGGCAGTGGGGCTCGGGCAGCTCCTTGCCTTGGCCAAAGCCCTCTGCTGCCCTCGGGTGCCCGTCAGCTCCGCTGCCAAAGCAGCCGGAGGAGGAGGAGGAGGAGGAGGAGGAGAGCCTGAGCCCCTCTCCTGCTCCCCTGGCACTGCCCCCCAGGCACTGCCGCTGCCCCCCTGGCACAGCCACAGCTGCTCTGGGCACCTGTGCCAGGGCCTGCCTGCCCTCACAGGGAACAATTCCCAGTTCCCTGCCCTGTGGCAGTGGGAGCCACTCCCTGAGTCCTGTCCCCCATCCCTTGTCCCCAGTCCCTCTCCAGCTCTCCTGGAGCCCCTCCAGGCCCTGGCAGGAGCTCTGGGCTCTCCCTGGAGCTTCTCCTGTCCAGGTGAGCCCCCCCAGCTCTCCCAGCCTGGCTCCAGCAGAGGGGCTCCAGCTCTCAGGGTATCAGGAGATCACTTCAGGAGACAGTTTTTCAACGTAAGGAAGATTCCAACTGCTTCAAAACCTCCTGCCCATGCACGGAAGTGACCAGGTAGGGCTCCAAAATACCTGTAAATGCCAGAGCACAGTGTTTGCAGGGACAAAGGGCTGCTTTGTCCCTGGCCTGCCACACAAGAGGTTCTTTCTCTGCTTCAGTTTGGTTCTTCCCTTTTTTCCCCAGTCTTCTGACTGAAGGCTTTGTGTGAGCAGGGTCATACCTGGCTCTTCCTCCCTCTGTGGCCAGGAGCTGATGTTATCTGGGGGAATTTGGCAGTTCCCTGTGCTGCTCTGAGGGTTTCTGTCTGCTGTGTTTTGGTGTTTAATGACATCAGAAAATGTGGGGAACCAACCTCTTGGTGCCCCTTCCATGGGCTGCCACAAGGATGAGGCCCCTCAGTAGGAGGAGGGTTAATGGTGCTCTGACAGAGATGGGAAGGGGTAGGGTGAGGCTGAAGGGTCCCAGCAGGACCCTTCAGTGCAATGGATTTTTGGCTTTGGATCCTGAGCTTGAGGTTCCAAAGCGAAAGCAATGAGCTTGAGCAGGTGAGCAAGCACCTGAGCAACGAGCAGGGGCTGGCTGTGTGCTGCGGGCAGTGCCCTCCCCTTTCTCTGTGCAGGGAATGGAGCCCAGTTCTAGGGCCAAACAGGGGCTGGTGAAGGCTGGGGGTCTGCAGTGCTCACCGGGGAGGGGAGGAGTGCAAATCCCCTGGAGCAAGAGGGAGATGCAGCAAAGCCGGTGGAGCCCGGGCCCCTCCTCTCATCCCATGCAAAGTGTGGGGCCAGCCCCAGCCCCGCCAGAGCCTCTTCCCTCTGGAATTTGCATGGCAAACGGGAGAGCGTGGCAGCTCCTGCCCGTGCCGCAGCTCCTGCCAGCTGGGAAGCTCCTGCTGAGGAGGGACAGACAGAGGTGGCAGCAGGACAGGGGGACAGGCTCGGGACAGCGCTCTACTGAGCCCAAACCTTCCCCTGGGCTCTTGAAGGCGCTGACTGTGACCCTGGCAGGGACAAACAGCGTCCCGCGTGTGACCCTGGCAGGGACAAACAGCGTCCAGCGTGTGACCCTGGCAGGGACAAACAGCGTCCAGCGTGTGACCCTGGCAGGGACAAACAGCGTCCCACGTGTGCCCGGGTCCCTGGTGCATGGGAGTGTCCACATGGGAGCGCCGGGAAGGAGCGTAGGGCAGGGGAACGAGGAGGATTCCACGGCTGCTGCTGCTCCCGGAGCATCCCTGCCCGAGGGGCGGCTCTGGCCGGGGCTGGGGAAGGGGAGGCAGGGCTTGGCAGCAGCGCAGCGAGAGGGAGCTGAGGGTGAGGGACGCCGACAGCCTGAGCTGCCTCCTCCGGCCTTTCTGTCCTCTCAGGAAGGAAGGAGGTTATTTTTAAACCCGGGACCCAGGTACGCAGCGGTACCTAAGGCTTTCCCTCGTGCAAAAGGAATGGGAAGTGATGCAGTGCCAGCTGCAGCCCCCACGCTCCCTCCAGAAGGATTTTCTTCCCCAAACCACTCCTCTAGCAAAGCTCGGCACCTCCGACCTTGCTCTAGGCACCAGCTGGGGGCTCATCCCACCCTGCCCCACATCCCACAGGGAGCAGCTCTCATCTCCTTATTTGGGCTGGGTCAGCCGTGTGCCCGCAGCCCTGCCGTGTGCCAGCCTGCCGTGTGCCAGCCTGCCGTGTGCCAGCCTGCAAACAGAGCCCGGGCTGCAGCCAGCACCAGGGCACCGCCAGAGCCGCCAGCCCCGAGCAGCCTCACCTGGGCCCGGCTCTCGGCCCCGCTCTCCTGCCACAGAGTCACACTGCGGTGACAATGGCACCGTGCCGAGCACGGCCGGAGCCGCTCCAGGCTGGGTCAGGGCAGTCAGACTGCCCCGGGAACGCATCCCAGAGGGAACATCCTGCCCGGGCTGCGTCCCGAGCTGGCAGCGGGCAGGAGCTGCCTCAGGCTCTGAGCAAAAGCAGATGTGGGAGATGCTGCGGGCGGGAGGCTCTGCCAGGGGCACAAACACCGTGCCTGGAACGGGCCGCTGGAAAAGTGTCCTTGGAGGGACTCCTGGTGTCCCGGGGCGACGCTGTTTGTTGGGAGGTGCGAGCATCCAGGCTCCCTGCCTCCCTGGGCGGCAGCAGCGCCGGGACTGTCCCTGTCTGGGACGGCTGGCAGCACAGCAGGGGCCGTGCCAGGGCCGGGGCCGGTGCCAGGGGCGGTGCCAGGCTCACACACTCATCCCCGGGCAGCCCGACCTGCTGGGAGGGGACCGCACCCAGGGCAGGGCTGAGCCTCGTCCCCTGCTCCCGCCCGTCCGGGGACCGCCGGGGGACCGAGGGGCGCACGGGGACAGCTCTGTCACCGCGGCACTTCTCCGAGAAAGAGGAAGCTGTCTCGAAATAACTCGGCGCTTCCCCTTGTGCCCCGCACGCTTTGAAGCGGCTGCCGAGCCCGGGAGCCGCCGGGGCTCCGCTGCCACCCGCGCCCCTGCCCGATGTCCCCTGCGGGTCCCTGCTGTCCTGGCCGGGCCCTCGGAGGGGGCTGCGGCTCCCTGGGCCCCCCGAGCCCGGCCTGAGGAAGGTAAGAGCCCCCGAGGGCGCGGTGCCCCGGCTCCTGGCGTGGGGAATGCTGCGGCTCAGCCTCCGCCGTGCCCCCGCTGCTCTCGGGGCTGCTCTGGCACTGCCGAGGGCTTTGTCTGGGGACTGGCACCGAGCGCTGGATGCCAGGGCTGCAAGCACCTGGAAGGCATGGCCGGGGGCAGAGCCATTCCTTTTGTCGGGAAGAACGAGGGGAGGGAGCCGCGGTGTGCGGGAGATCGGGAATGCGCTGCTGAGAGAGCAGGAGTGCCAGCTCCCGTGCCAGCCGCCGGGGTCCTGCAGGGTCTGTGCCGGGTGTGACTGAGGGGCAGGGAGTGCTGCAGGGTCTGTGCCCGGTGTGACTGAGGGGCAGGGAGTGCTGCAGGGTCTGTGCCAGGTGTGACTGAGGGGCAGGGGTTCTGCAGGGTCTGTGCCGGGTGTGACTGAGGGGCAGGGAGTGCTGCAGGGTCTGTGCCCGGTGTGACTGAGGGGCAGGGAGCTGCGGTTCTTCAGGCCAGACTGGAGTTTTGGGGAGCTCACTGAAAGCAGAGGGGGCTCTTGGTGCCTGTGCCCTGTAATTAAATCCCCTTTTTGACCTCGTTGTCCTGGTGCAACCCTAAACCCTCATCCCTTCCTGGCTAAGGGCTTCTCTGTGCCCTCCCTGCCCACAGCTGTCACATCCCTGTGTCCCCACGGTGCCAAGAGAGCACCCCCAGCAAGGCACACAGGGCTGGGTGCCACGCACAGCGTGCTGTGGTCACTCTGTCACCCTCCTGCTGTCACCCCCAGGCGGTTCCTCTGTGCCCTCCCCGGGTCACCTCCGCTGTGGCCGCCTGAGGGCAGCTGCCAGCAGAGGCTGGGCAATGGAGAGGACAGTGCTGTGACCCTGCACTGGGACATTGCACAGAGATTTGTGTGACAGGCAGGGCTGTCCCAGTGACCGTGCTGGTGACAGTCCTGCCCAGGGAATGGCTCTGGAGGGAGGCGGGGAGAAGCTGTGCCAGCCCACAGCCCCTCCCAGCCCGGGAAAGCAGCCTGGCCCCTCCCGGGTGGGCCACATTTGGAAGTCTGAGCTCTCCCTGCTTTCATTCCCCCTCAGGTGGACAGTGCTTGCCTGGGCTGTTTGTGAGCACAGTCTGGCAGTGGATTTCAACTCACACCTATTTTTTCCCTGTGATTGTTTTTCCAAAGTCGACTCCAGGGATGGAAAGATGCTAAATCTAAAAAGCTGCTGTTTCCGGAAAACCCTTTCCTTTCCTTAGGAAGAATGAAATGTGACGTTGGCAAGGAAGTCTCCAAACAGTCACTGGTGTCCAGGAAGCTGCTGGACTTCCACAGCTCCAGCAAAGGCCTGGGGGCTCGAGCAGAGCTGTGCCTGATGAGCACTCACTGCAGGGCCAGCGAAGGTGTTTCATTCCTCAGCTGGCCCCAGGAGCCGTCTGTGCCAGGACCCCCCTGGCAGGGCTGTGCCTTCCCCAGCAGCCAGCAGGCAAATGGAGCCTCAAGGAGATGCTGGAAAGCAGAGTCTGGGCTCGTGATTCCCTTCCTTGGCAGTGAGAGCACGAGGGAGAGCATCTGCTTTCATCTCAGAGCTGCCTGGAACCAGAGCCCTGCCAGGGCTGCAGTTAAATCTGGCACTGAGAGCAGGAGGGGGCTCAGGCTGGGCCCCAGCACGCGTGGCACTGCCAGCTCTCCTGCAGGTCTGCCCACTCCAGCAGCGTGCCCAAAGGGGCCAGGAAGGTGGCAGGGCATCTTTCTGTGGGCTTCGAGTCTCGTAGCCGAAGTTTTGCCTGGCTTTTGTTTGAACAGAGAGCCCTGGGAGCAGCTGATGGAAGGGAGGGGAGCAGCCCTGCCCTGGCTGTTTATCCTTGCCCAGGGTCCTCAGGGGAGCCCGGAGCTGCTGCTGCCTGCACAGCCCGGAGGGTTGGAGGAGGGAGAGCTGCCTTTGCCCTGCTTTCCTACCTGGCTGTGCAGCTGGGCTGGAGCTCGGGATCCCGGCCGGAAGCAGAGCATGCTGCACAGACAGACTTTGAGAGGAGGGGACAAACAGACACAGCCTCTGCCTCTGCTGGGGTCCCCTGCAGCTCCGGGGCTGAGGCTGTGAGGGATGAGGGATGTGAGGGGTTAAGGGGTAGGGGTGTAGGGGATGAAGGGATCAGGGATGCTGCTGGAGCCGTTTCCCAGCGTTGGGATCTGCCAGCTGCAGTTCGGGGCAGCCCAGAGGATGCAATGCCAGATCCCCAGCGCGGCTTGTGGAGCACGGCCCTTCAGCTGCCACATCCCCCTCCCGCCCATCCCACCCCATCCCACCCCACCCCTCCCGTCCCTCCCACCCCACCGCCGTGCTCCAGCCGTGCCGGCTCCCGGAGGAAGCCGGGGCGGGCGGCGCCGGGGCCGTGCCAGGCTCCGCTGCTCTCAGAGCCAGCCTCGCCCGCAGGAACCGCGGGGGAGGCGGCACAGGGGGCGGACTGGGGCTGTCCCAGGCCACTCGCCACGCCGTGACGACACTGAGCCCATGCGGGTCCCCTCGGGCTGAGCGCTGCCCGCGGCTCCCGCAGGACGCTCCGGCGCTGGACCCCGCTCCCGCTGCCCATGGTACCCGTGCGATCCCCCCTTGGGGCCAGGGGGTGCGGAGCGCTGGGGAGGGCTCAGGTGGGCTGGGAGGGGGCACAGCCCCTCGCCGTGCCCGTGAGAGGCGCGGCTTTCTCTGTGTCTGCGCTGGGGCTGACAAACAGCGCCGGGGAAAAGCTGAGCCGTGCCGGGAAAAAAAAGCTCAGCCGTGCCCGGGCGGTGAGTTTGTAACCAAACACGGGCTGCAGGAGGCGTGGGGAGGTGGCTTCGGAGCGGATAAATATAACTGCGGGAGCGAGGGGATGTGCTCCGCGTCCCGCCGGGGCCGCGCTGGCCCTGGGCAGGCGGGGAGGGGGACACAGGGACATCGCCCAGGCTGGCTGTGGCCAGCCCAGCTCCAGGTATTGCATTCGGGGTGCAGGCAGGGTGTGCCGGGAGCAGAGAGAGGATCCTGGACGTGCTGGAGCCTCCCAAGGGAGCCTCGTTACTGGCAGCCCGGCTCCCAGCACCCAAGGGTTTGGGCTGGGCTGTCTTTAGTGGCTTCAGCTATTTCTGCCTCGCTGCAGCTATTTCTGTGCCTCTCGTGTTTCACCTGGTCGGGGGTGGTTGGGGTTTAGTGATTTCCGAGTGCTGAGAGCCTGTGAGACAGAGCAGGAGGCCTTTGGGGAGCCAGCCCCTCATTTCCAGGGGACAGCCTGAGTCACCACGGTGGGGCTGAAGTGACTCCCCCGCAGGGACACGTCCCCACCCCTCAATGGATTTGCAGTCTGACCCCAAGGGCTGAGCTCCAACCCCTGCCCCGGGGCGAAGGGGGAGAAGCCCCTTTGTGGGGACGGGGCTGTGCTTCCTGCAGGGATGAGCCCTTCTCCCACCGAGGGCAGGTGAACCGGGATCCTCCTCCGTGGAGGACAAGGAGCAGCCCAGCCTGGGCTCCGTGTGACCCCACGGGGACAGTGACCTGCCGGCTGTCCCTGCTGCTGCCCAGCGCCCTCCAGACACACCCAAAGGCCACCAGGGTGATGTTTGATCTGCTGGAACCCACCTGGTGACAATGTTTTTGGTGCCCGTGATCAGCCCTCAGAGAAGGGAGAGGGAGAGGGGCTGGTGTCCCCAGCACTCGGGATGGTGTCCCCAGCACTCAGGGTGGCATTCGCAGCATTTAGGTTGCTGTCCCCAGTGTTCCCCCCTGCCTGTAAGGATTAGGGAAGGGACAACCCTGGAGGAGGTGACAATTTCCTTGTGCACACCTGGGCCCCAGCAAATGGGATCCCTGCTTAGGAGGAAGGAGCCTCAGTGGGATGAGCGGGGGGAGGATGGAGAGGTGAGGGAGGCAGAGGATGGAGGATCCCAAAATGGGACAGAGCTTCGCCTGGGATTAGCTGGGCTGAGGTAGACCACTGGTACAAACTGCTCTGACCCTGGGCCCCCAGGCTGCTGCCCTGCAGAGGAGGGCTGAGGAGGGTTTGTGGGGTGCTCAGCCAGGTCCTGCTCAGGCTGTGTCCAGCACCTGCAGTTTGGAACAGGAGGGTTCCCTTTAACCCTGCAATTCCCTTTAACCTGTGAATTTATCTGCCAGGGTCAGGGTGAGCTGCACTTTCAGTGCCAAGTCCTGCATTTTTAAGAATAGAGCCAGGTTCTCCCCAAAACTGCCCCAAACTCTTGAGGAAGGTGGCTGTGGGGTCATTTGGGATTTTTGTCCTATGACTTTCAGAATTATTGAAAGCTGAAGGGAGAATTGCGACTTCCCTTCTTGCCCTTCCTTTTTCATTTTTTTTTCCCTGCAAAAGGAATAAATCCAGCTGATGCCGTGGGTATTTTAAGAATTGCAGAGAGGAAGCGGAGATTTGCAGCTCTGCAAAGAAGTGGGATGAATGCAGAGAAGGCTCTGGTCTTGCTGAGCTGGCAGACAGCAAAACACCCAGCTTTGGGATGAGCTGTGCCTCGTGTCTGCTGCAGGGGAGGCAGGAGATCCAGGGGGACAGAGAGCACAGAACCCTCCTGGTGTGGATCAGGGAACCTTCCCAGCCTTCTGGGAGCAGGGAGGGGCTCCCAGGGAAAGGGGCTGAGTCCAGCAGGGGCTGGGACCAGTGCAGGGTCCAGAAACGGGGACAGCTCCCGTTCCTCGGGCCAGGGATCCTCTCGGGATCTGTGGCAGAGAGAGGGGCTGGCTGGAGGGGGGCTCTGGTGCCCAGAACCCTTCCTGAGGGCTGGCATCATCCCTGCCTGTCCTGCTGGGTCTGGGATGGGCACAGCAGGGCTGAGGGGCTGTGCCCTCACCCCCGGGGAGCACAGCAGGCAGAGAACACCCCAGGGAAAAGAGGCAAGTTCTGCTCCTTTGGGCTCCTGTGCTGCTCAGAAACATTCCCATGAAAAGGGGCAATTTCTGCTCCTTTGGGCTCCTGTGCTGCTCAGAAATGTTTCCAGGGAACCGGGGCAATTTCTGCTCATTTGGGTTCCTGTGTTGCTCAGAAACATTCCTAGGGAAAAGGGGCAATTTCTGCTCCTTTGGGCCCCTGTGCTGCTCAGAAACATTCCCATGAAAAGGGGCAATTTCTGCTCCTTTGGGTTCCCGTGCAGGTCCTGGCTGAGGGAGAAGCAGTGGCTGGAGCCTGGCAGGACCCTGCCCGACCCCCCTGTTCCTCAGAACCTGTTCCTGTGCGTGTCCTTTCATCCTCCTCTCCCACAACACCTGCCCGTCCCCCCTGGACAGCGTGACTGGCTCTGAGCCTGCTGGGGACCTGTTTTGTCTCTTTATGTTGGGTTTTCCCAGGGCCCCAAGCACTGCAGCTAGCAGCGCAGTGTGGGCTCAGCCTCAGCTGATCTTTGCTGCCAGGGAGCAAAAGGAGCCCTTTGGAGCAGCCAGGTGAGCCCAGCAGCAGAGTTTCTCGGGCGGGCCGGGCTCACGTTGTTCTTTGCTAAATTTGGCAGCTGTGGCAGGGCGGCAGCGCCCGCCCCCGCAGTGCCAGGAGGATGCGGATGTGGGGAGCCACCGACACCTTCAGCCGCATTCAGCTGCTGCTTCCTCCGGCAGCGGCCGGCAGGAGCCCGGGGCTGCCCGGGCGTCTCCCGAGCTCCGGGGAGCGCCGTGCTGGCCCAGCAGCAGTGCCAGCTCCGGGACTGGCAGTGCCAGCTCTGGGAGTGGCAGTGCCAGCTCTGGGATTGGCAGTGCCAGCTCTGGGATTGGCAGTGAGAGCTCTGGGGCTGGCAGTCCAGCTTCGGGATTGGCAGTGCCCCCCTCCGGGACTGGCAGTCCAGCTCTGGGAGTGGCAGTGCCAGCTCGGGGAATGGCAGTGCCAGCTCTGGGAGTGGCAGTGCCAGCTCCGGGATTGGCAGTGCCAGCTCTGGGATTGGCAGTGCTAGCTCTGGGATTGGCAGTGCCAGCTCTGGGATTGGCAGAGCTAGCTTCAGGACTGGCAGTCCAGCTCTGGGAGTGGCAGTGCCAGTTCCGGGACTGGCAGTGCCAGCTCTGGGAGTGGCAGTGCCAGCTCTGGGACTGGCAGTGCCAGCGGTTCCGAGCTGGGGTTTCTGCCCCAAACACCGCGGGTGCTCCCCCTGGGGCTCTGTCCCTGCCCCACGGGGTCCCAGGGGGTCCCAGGGGGTCGCAGGGGGTCGCGGTGCCTTTGTGCTGCCTCGGGCTGATCCCGAGCCTGTTCCCAGCCCGGCGGAGCCCAGCGTGTTCCCGTTTTCCGCAGGCACCGTCCCCGCTGCCAGGCCATGCCCCAGCGCCGTGAGCAGCCCTGCGCCGGTGCCCCACGAGCTGCAGCCCAGCCCGGCCATGGAGAGCTCAGGTGGGTGATGCTGAGCCCGGAGCCGCCGAGGGGGAGCCGGGAATTACCCCTCACCCACCCCTCACACCCCCTTTTCTCTCTTCAGGCACCTGGGTGCTTCCCAGGGTGTTCAGGTGCTGCTGGAAGAGGGAAGGGAGGCACAGAGCAGTGCAGGGGCAGCCAAAAGCTTGGCTGAGTGTGGGGCACTCACAGCTGACAAAGCATTTGAGTTGTAAAGTAGTTCATTTTACAGTAGTATATTTTATTTATTTTTTTTTTGTTTTATAGTCATATTTTTATTTTATAGTAGTATATTTTTATTTCATAGTAGTATATTTTATTATTGTTTTTATTCTTATTTTATAGTAGTATATTTTATTATTTATTATTTTTTTATTTCATAGTATTGTATTTTATTATTGTTTTTATTTTTATTTTACAGTAGTATATTTGATTGTTATTAATTTTTTATTTTATAGTAGTATATTTCATTGTTGTTATTATTATAATTGTGTGTATTTCGGTCCATTTTCCCCCATGTTTCATTTTCACACTGTTTCAGAGGTGCTGTTGATCTCCCAGGGTCAGGATGTCAATGCTGAAAGGTTTTATTCCATTTCCAAGCCACTGCTCTTTGTTGCTGGGTTTATTTTTTGCTGCTTTTAGATCAAAGTGCCTCTTGTTTGTGCTGGGTCAAGCCTTTGCTCTGCCCCCCGTGAGAGACCCTCAGTGCTGGGGCTGCTTTGATGAGGAGCAGAGGCCAGGACTGATAGCAGAGCTCAGGAAAAGCCTCCCCTGGCGGTTACAAACACACAGGAAAAGAGCAGGACTTTTCAAACAGCCCTTTATGGCACAATTCCCACGTGCCAAACCAATAAACAGGAGAGGGACATCGGGGAGCTTCCCAAAACCCCTGAGACGAAACCGGGGGGTGAGGAAGGAGAAGCTGCCGAGACATTTCTGCAAATGGCACTTGCAAAACGAGGCAAGCCCAGTCTCCTTCGGATGTTTTTGTGTTGTGGCAGAGGTGCAGCTCCCTGTGCACACCCACATCCCTCAGCAGGGCAGAACTGGCGGCCCTGAGCCTGGGGCTCTTCCCTAGCACAGCTCCAAAACCATTCCCAGCGTGCTGGAAAGGAGCAGTGCCTGATCCAAATGGGCATTTCTGAACAGTTCACACTTATCTTTGGGGCAAAAGTGAGACTTTAGCCAAATGTTTAGATTTCTTTGCTTGGAGAGATGGCTGAGGGATCCTTCACACATTTGGGGTATCAAGTTTAGCAGCAGCCAGCCTAGCTGGGAAGCTTGCTCACAAAAAGCGAGGAAAAAGTCAGTTATTTCATTAAACCACACGTACGAGGCAATTATATCCTCTTTAAGGTGACACAATGGAGAGAAAGTTCAGCTTTTTGTCCTCTGCAAATCTGTAAAAACGAGCATGCTGCCATGAGAAGCTCTGGAAGGCAGGGAGTGAGACAGGCTGGAGCCACCAGCTTCAGGCAGGGCAGACCCTCCCAGGCTGGGTGGCACTTCTGGGGTTCTGTGGCACTCTCTGTCACTCTGTGTCACTCCTGTGTGGTTTCCACTGCTGTTCTGAGGGTTCTGGGGGCTCTGATGCCGTGGGGAGGGCTCTGTCCGGGCTGTCCCCTCAGGGTGCTGGCCCTGCTCAGGTGCCATGGGGAGGGCTCTGTCCCGGCTGTCCCCTCAGGGTTCTGGCCCTGCTCAGGTGCCATGGGGAGGGCTCTGTCCCGGCTGTCCCCCGGCTGCTGGCCTGGCTCAGGTGCCGCTGTCCCTTGCAGAGCTGGAGTCGGACATCCTGCGGCGGGTGCGGGCGCTGCTGCGGGAGCTGGACGGGCACCACCCCTCCTGCCAGAGCGACCGAGGTGAGGGACGGCCACTGCGGGCACCGCCTGTCCCAACCCCCGGGGGACATGAGGGCTCCGCTCACCCGCCCTTGCCGACCCTCTCCGGGAGGGGCCAAACCCTTCATCAGCTGCATCCGTGCCCCAGCAGCGTGTCACCCCGTGTCACCCTGTGTTACCCTGTGTGACACCCCCAGCACAGCCCCAGCAGCGCCTGTCACCCTGTGTCACCCTGTGTTACCCTGTGTGACACCGACCCCTGCACAGCCCCAGCAGTGTGTCACCCCGTGTCACCCTGTGTTACCCTGTGTGACACCCCCTGCACAGCCCCAGCAGCGTCTGTCACCCCGTGTCACCCTGGGGACACCCCCTGCACAGCCCCAGCAGCACCTGTCACCCCGTGTCACCCTGTGTTACCCTGTGTGACACCGACCCCTGCACAGCCCCAGCAGTGTGTCACCCTGTGTCATCCTGTGTGACACCGACCCCTGCACAGGCCCAGCAGTGTCTGTCACGCTGTGTCACCCCATGTCACCCTGGGGACACCCCCTGCACAGCCCCAGCAGCCCCTGTCACCCTGTGTCACCCTGTGTGACACTGACCCCTGCCCAGCCCGTGTCACCCTGTGTGACTGTCACCCCTCCTGCCCGTGTCACCCTGCCAGCCCCTCACTGTCCCTGGCTCCTGTGCTGGGCTGGGACACACTCGCAGAGCCCCCAGGGGTGACCCCGGCCCTGCCCAGCTCGGCCCTGGGCACTCAGGAGGTTCCTCTGTGCTCTGGCTCTGGAGGATGGAACTCTTCCAGCCTGGGGAGCCCCAATGAACGTTGGAAAGTTGATTTTACTCAGAGCACACAGGATGCTTTACAGCTAATTAAATTTGGGGTTGCTGCAATGAGCCATGGCACCTCAGGGCTCAGAGGTTTCTATCCCTGCTCTGGGGTCCTGGCACCAGCAGGACCCCAAATCCCATGGGACAGGTGGGGAAAGCAGCTGGGCACAAACAGGGCAAGGAACCAAACTCCACATCCTCCTTTTCCCCTAGGATCTCCAGGAGCCACTGCCAAGGAATTCCCAAAATCAAACCCAGCACAGCCGTGCTGTGTCCAGGGCCAGGCAGGGGCACAGGGTCACAGCGGGGAGCAGAGGGCACTGCAGCTGGCTCAGCCCTCAGGGAGGTCCCAGCGTGTCCCAGGGGGTCTCTGCACTGCAGGGCCCAGCCCCCTGGTGGCCCTGACCTCCTCTGGTGTCCCTCCTCAGGAATGCTGCGGTGGACCCTGCACAAGAGAATCGACCAGAACCCCAGAACCAGCTGTGTCCTGGTCAGGATCCTGGTGAAGGAGCTGGAGAGGGTGAGTGTCACCCCAGGGAGGGGACAGTGCCACCACAGAGAGGGGAGAATGCCACCCCAGGGAGGGGACTGCCACCCCAGGGAGGGGACAGTGCCACCCCAGAGTACCTGGCCCACCCTGGGGGCTCTGGGGCTGCTCCTGCCCAGCCCAGTGTCCTGCCAGGACCTGACTGTGCCCTCCCTGCCTCTGCCCCCGCAGGCAGAGCGAGGGGACCTCCGGCACTACATCATCCCCCTGCTGCACACGCTGATGTACACCTTGATCCAGGTGAGCCGGGCCTCGGGATGGGAGCCTGCACCTGGGCACACCAGCCTGGGGCAGCATCCAGGGACAGCAGGGCCACGGGAGAGGCCACCTGAAGCCCCTCAGAACCCAGAGCAGCCACTCAGAGCCAGCAGAGCCCTGGGACAGCCCTGGGCGGGCTCAGCTGTGCACGTCCCATGTCCCTGTGGCACACACAGTGCCGGGTCCTGCCGCCCGAGCCCTTTGCTAGTGAGTGCAGGAAGCCACAACCTGGCAAAACTAATGTGTGCCCAAGCTGCAGTGGGTATGGCTGGAGGCTCCCAAACCACTGCAGGGCCTGATTCTGCCCCACGGTTTGCATTTCAATCCATAGTGAATTCGGTGCAGTGAGTTTGGTGCCCTCCCAGCCCGGGGGCTGTGTTGGGGCAGGTTTAGAGGTCACTGCCTGTCACCTCCCTGTCCCCCTGCAGGCTCCCTGCATCCCTGACGAGCTCTGTGCCAGGGTTTATGACTTCTGCAAGAGGATGCTGACCCTGCCCAAGCCCTTCTGCACCATTGGGCTGGACTATGCCAGCAGGCTGCAGGTGGAGAGGACAGCCCCAGGTAAGGGAAAAGGAAAGCAGCTCTAAAGCAGCCCCGTGGGCACTGGGCTGTCAGTGGGGCTGCAGGGAACAGCCCCGTGCAGGAAGCAAGCCCAAGGACACCTGGTTTATTTTTTCTCCGTGTTCTTTTTCTCTGTTCTCACTGAAGTTCCTCCAGTTCAATTTTGCTTTAATAGGAGCCTTTCAAAGAGTCCTCTAGAGCAGAGCAAGGTGCAGACACCCTGTGATGGGGAGGAGAAGCAGGAGAAACCTGCTGGGGAATTTTGGTGCCATTCTGGGGAGCCTCAGCCCACCCCCAGCAGCCCCAGCACTCGTCCCCAGCGCTGCTTTGGCTGCAGCTCCAAGGGACACCTTCTGTCCCCTGAGCTCAGGAATGGCTCAGAGGACAGAAATGGCTCAGAGTGCAGAGAGGGGATCTCCAGCAGGGCTCCCCTCGGGCAGCACAGGAGCCACAGGGGGATTGTCCCTGAGCCAGGATGGACCCTCAGCCCTGGGCAGGGGCAGGGGCAGGAGCAGGGGCAGTGCCTCTCTCCTGATCCAGAGCCCCTGGTGCTCCTCAGATGTCCCCAAACACCGTCCCCATGCGGCCCTGGGGACAGAGCTCTTCCTGCTGCCTCCAGCTCCGCTCCCAAGCTCATAATGCCCTAAACAAAGGAAGGGAAACACAGGAAATCATCCCGGAATAGACGGGGGTTTCTTTTTCTGGAGCCTGGCCTATCTTTGTCCTTGGCTGTTTTTAGCTCTGGCCCAGTTCGTGGCTGTTTAAGCTGAGCTCAGCGGGTGTTCCCCGGCTTGGCAGAGCCTCCTGAGCCTGCAGAGCTGGGAGCAGCCCGGGCTGCCCCGAGGGCTGCGCTGCCGCTGCTCCAGCCGCTGTTTGTGCCCTGGCAGGGACCCTGTACCAGAGGATGGTCATCTCCGAGCAGAGCCTGCGCAGCGCCCCCTTCCCCTACCAGGAGAGGTGAGCTGCCCCTCGGAGGGGCCGTGCTTTCATTTCCCACTCTCTGGGAAACCTGTCCTGTCCCAGCAGCCTTGGCTGGAGCACACAGCCTGGGCCTGACCCTCGTGGCTGTGGGGAACACCCCTCACTGGGACTGAGGTGTGGGGAGGGCACATTCTGCTGTGTCCCGAATTGTTCTGGAAGGCAGGGAGCTGCCCTCGGGGGGGGAGACAGGGTGGAGAAGGGGAATATCAACAGCAACAGTGGAAAAAGTGAGAGGGGAGCTGCCCCTGCCAGCCCTGGGGTCGCTGATGTGAGTCTGCACCTCCTCCTTTCCCCACCCTGCTGCTCGCCAGGATTTTCATCTTTGCTGACCCCGAGCTGCTGCCCGAAGCCATCTGCAAGGCGCTGGCCACCGACACCGAGGCGGCCCAGGTGTCCCAGAGCCCGCGGGGCTGCATGAGCTGCGTGGTCACCCACGCCCTGCAGGCGGCCCTGGGTGACACCTGCGACACCCACGGCCTCAGGGCCCGACTCCAGGTACGGCAGCAGCTCCTCCGGGGCTGTCCCTGGTCCTGCCCTGGCTGGACACCCCGGAGAAGCAAAAGGCAAGGGGAGAAACCCCCCAGCTTCCCAGCGCTGGTCTGCAGCCCCAGGGCTGGGCTGGGGCTGAGCTCAGACAGCCTTTGAATGGGAAGGAGAGGCTGCAGCAGAGCACAGGTGGAACCTTCAGTCTGAGTGTTGGTTTTGCCCAGCAAAGCCGAGACAGAGCCTCTGTCAGCTCCTCTGGAGCCCCTGGGCACTGCAGGAACCTCTCAGGAGAAAGGTTTCAGTCAGTTTTCTCCAAACCCTCCTGGAAGGAGCTGTGGGGCCACAGTGACACAAATGTCTGCCTCAGAAACCTTGCAGGGACTCTCGGCAATTTCCGCTCCAAGGTCACTTCGTGTGCCTGCTGTCCCCATGTCCCAGAGTCACCCCAAGTGCCAGCACCGCTGGGGATGCCCCAGGGACACGGTGCCCCCCAGCTGCAAAGCTGCCACAGAAGGAGCTGTAAGCAGCCAGCCCAGCCAGCGTCTCTGCTGGGGACAGGAGGGCCTTCGTGTCCCCCAGGAAGCAATTTCTGCAGGACTCACTTGCTCCCCCTGCCCCTCCCGCTGCCCTGGCGTGGATCATCCCTGTTTCCAGGTGCTGACGGCCGCTGTCCCAACAGGCCTTGTCCCCGGGGGACGTGGAGCACTGGTTCCAGCAGGTGGTGGCGGCCGTGGAGGGCGCGGGCAGCGAGGGCGGCTGGGACCGGGGCCAGCACACGGCGCGGCTGGAGAGAATCTACCACGGCCTCCTGGGCTCCGTGCCCGCAGGTGAGCCCAGCAGGCATTCCCACGGGGACAGGGAGCCCTCGTGTGCCTGCTGTGTCCCTGCCGTCACTCCTGCCCGTGCCTCAGTTTCCCCCTTTCATTTCTCCCTCCCACCAGAAGTTAGACTGTGGTGATGGCTGGGTTTGTGAGAGCAGAGGCCTGACAGCCTCACGTCTGGCCAGGAGCTGTGGGCTGGGAGAGCCCCAGGGCTGCCCCAGCCAGCGTTCAGCACTGGGGCTCGTGCTCCTGTGTGGGGAAATGCTCCAAGCATCCCTGTTTTCCCAGGGAATGCTCCCCAGGAAGGGCTGCAGGGGACCCCTCTGCCCAACCCCAACATCAGCTTCCACCTGTGGACAGAAGATGAGCAGCTCTGTGAGTGCCCCCCGGGGCTGCGGGTGTGGGTGGGGTCTGAGCCTGGGGCTCCTGTCCCAAAGGGGTCACTTAGCCCTGAGCTTTGGGCAGGGAGTTTGGGCACCACTGTCCCAAGGCCAGGCTTGGGAGATCGGTGCTGACTGCCCCAGGCCTCCTCCCTGGGTGTGGAGGGGGAAGGAGCTGGGGCTGCAGCAGGATGTGCCCAGGGTGGGTGCTCCAGGACCCCGGCAGTGTCTGGGGCCTCGCTGGATGGAGCTCTGAGCAGCCTGCTCTGGTGGAAGGTGTCCCTGCCATGGCAGGGCATGGGAACAAGGTGATCCTCAAGGTCCCCCCCGAACCACTCTGGGTTCTGGGGCTGGAGCAGCACCGAGCTCTCCCAGTGGGCAGCGGGGCTGAGGACTGGCTGCCCTCGGAGCTCTCAGCTCTGCGGGTTCCCTGCGGGGAGGGAAGCCGGGGCAGGACCGGGCTGAGCCCGGCTGTGCCCGCCTCTGCCGCTCAGGCGCTCGGTGCCCGCAGGGAAGGAGCTGGTGCTGTTCCTGCGCCCGCTGTCGCAGAGCTGCGAGCCCGAGTGCCTGGGGCAGGAGCTGGAGCCCATGGAGATGCCGGACGAGCTCCCGGGCTGCGGCTGCTGCGGCCGGAGCCGCTTCTCCGTGCTGTCCACGGACAGCGGCATCGAGCGGGACCTGCCGGCGCAGGAGGAGCCGTGCGCGCCCTGCGCCGAGCGCTCCCGGCTCCACAGGAAGGGCGGCATCAAGAAAAAGCCGTCCCCGCTGGACAGCGTGGCCTTCCTGCAGGCTGGCAGCGCTGTGCCCGGCGGGAAGCCCCCCGGGAAGCTGCCCAGGAGGGCAGGGATGCCCCCCGAGCCCGCGGCCCCGCTGCAGAGGCTGCACACCGCCCGCGTGGTGCTGCTGGGGGACGATCGCGTCCTGGGCCGCCTGGCACAAGCCTTCCACTCCCTCAGGTACCTGCGGCCACCCGGGCTCGGGGGGACGGCGGCACAGCGGCTGCTTTGCCCTGCAGGCTGTTGGAGCAGCCGGGGGGGCTGGGGGAGGGCTGGGGCTCAGCGGGGCCCGGGGTGGGCTCGGATCCCGGTGTCCGGCTCCCGAGCGCTCCCGACTGTCACCGGCGGCTCTCGCGGCCCCAGTGATGCTCACAGCCAGTCCTCCCCTCTATCCGGGGGTCTCATGGCTCCAGTGCCGCACACAGCCAGTCCTCCCCTCTATCCGGGGGTCTCATGGCTCCAGTGCCGCACACAGCCAGTCCTCCCCTCTATCCGGGGGTCTCATGGCCCCAGTGATGCGCACAGCCAGTCCTCCCCTCCGTCCGGGGGTCTCATGGCTCCAGTGCCGCACACAGCCAGTCCTCCCCTCTGTCCGGGGCTCGGTTAAACGAACAACAAACGCGGCAAGGTGTTTTCCTGTGCCAAAGGGAAAAATCCTGCAGAGAAGCTGTTTCCCAGCTGGCTGTCCCCAGCTGCTTCCCCCGGCTGGGGTGGGTGACAGTGTGGGCAGCCTGTGAGCAGAGCTGGGTGCGCAGGGACACCAGACCCTGACAAAAACCTCTCCGAGGCTCCCCATCACCTCCCCTTGCTTGATTTGGGAGCTCAGGGGGCAGGAGGCAGCGAAGGGGGCCCGTGGCAGAGCAGCCGCGGTGCCCTGGCACTGCCAGCCGTGCCCAGGAGCCGCCCTCTGCCCCTGCCCGCGGCACATCTCCCTTTGCATTCCAGGAAACGGGAAGCCCGGCGAGTGTTCCTGACGCCCAGGCTGGACCTGCAGTTCTACCACATCCCGGTGGTGCCCTCTGCTGCTGCCGTGAGTGCCGGGGGGTGGGAGGCTGGGGCAGAGCAGGATCAGGAATTCCTTGCCCTGACCCCAGAACAGGGAGGGTGGGAGCCAACACGGAGCTGCTGGGCTCAGTTTGGGGTCACAGCCCCTTCAGTTCTGCTGCCAGGCCTCAGCTGCAGAGGGATCTGTGAGGTTTAGCCGAGGACTGCTGCTTTCCCCACCTCCCAGATGCTGAGGGGAAGCAGCTGCTGCTCATGGAGGGCTTTGCCTCCTTGGCCAGGGCCCCGGGTTTAGGTCTTTGAGTCTCTTCTTGTGGTTTATGTCAGGCACATCCCTTCCCCTTGGACAGAGGTAAAGAAACAATTGCATTTAGGATATTTTAAGCTGGCCAAGAGCTGGCTGTGACCCCTGACAAAGAGGCTGTTAAAAAATCAGAATTCCTTATTTTCATTCCTCAGGGAAGTTTTGTGCTGGAGCACCTGCTAAGTGAGTTTGAGCAGGGAAAGGGAAGGGATGGGGGAATGTCACAGGTCTCTGTATCTTCTCATGGCTCCTGATACGGTGAGCCCCCCATTCCTGTTAGGCAGCAGGAAGCTTCCCAGGAGTGTGAGCCACGTCCCACAGGAGCTGGATTTAGGGCTGGAAGTGGCTGGGAGGGGTTCTCCAGGACCTTCTCCTCACGTTTGGCTCAACACAAGCCCAGGAAAAGCAAACACTCCCCAGGCTGTGAGCTGTGTTTCCCTGCAGGACCACGCTGGCCCCGAGGAGCTGTGCGAGGTGGCCGGGTACCTGGGCAGGGCTGACCCCTGGTACGAGAGCAACATCAACACCCTGTGCCACATGATCCCCAAGCTGGCCACCATGGTACGAGGAAACCTTCCCGTGTCCCAAAAACACCCGCAGCCCCTGAGGAGGGCTCTGTGCCCTGCAGGGCTCTCCATCCCCAGACAGATTTCATCTCCAAACCCTCCCCAGGCCCTGCAGGGCTCTCCATCCCCAGACATTTTCCAAACCCTCCCCAGGCCCTGCAGGGCTCTCCATCCCCAGACAGAAATTTCCCTTCCAAACCCTCCCCAGAGGTGCCCGTGTCTGACACTGCCCCAGCCCACAAAAGCCATTTGCTGTGATGGGTTTTTTTGACCAGAGGACAGGAAATGGCAGATTTCAAGAAAGAAAACTTTTGCTGAAATCCCCCCAGCTGTCATTTCCCGGCAGTTTGAGCCACCACTGCCAGCCCACACAGAAAGGGCTCGCAGGTGGGCACAGCTCCTGCTCCCTGTGAGTGGCGAGGCCAGAGGACAGCTTGTCCCCCACTCGGTGTCCAGGAAGGTGTGAGACCTTGTGGCAGGGTTTCTGAGAAGCGCCGGGGGCTGAGGCAGCCTGTGCTTTGCCCCCAGCCTTCGTCGCCAAGCAGGGCCCTGGTGACCGACCTGTTCCTCACCGATGTCATCGCCTACTACGCCCGCATGGGCACCCAGCCCGTCTGCTTCCAGCTGCACTCTGTCAAGGTGGGTGGCACAGCTGGCACAGCCCTGCAGGGGCTGGCAGAGCCGTGCAGAGCCAGCGGGCTCTGGGGCTCCCAGCAGATCCCAGCCTGGATCCCGTTCCCCCAGCCCATCCCTCCTGCAGCCCGTGACCCTGGAGCTCAGCTCAGCTGGAGCCAATGCCCCTGGCAGGGACATGTGGGGATCTCAGCTCAGCAAAGGGAGCCTTGAAATCCCCCACAGGGTCACGGGTGTCCTGCTCAGCAGCCTGTACCTCCCCTGCTCCAGGTGCTGGGAGCGAGCAGGGCTCTGCTGAGCAGCTTGGCCAACACCTCCCTGTACCTGCAGGGCTTTGCAGGGCTTCCTGCAGCACCATTTGATTTATTTCCTGCCAGCTTTGCTCTGAGGTGGTATCAGAGCGAGGCCTGGCATTTGGTAGGAGAGCAAAGGAGGGCTAAATTCGGGCATACAACATTAACCCTTCCCTCCCTGCTCCTCTGGCAGCTCTGGCAGCCCCTCCAAAGATCAGGCACATGAACAGAGCTCCTTTTAATCTGCTCACAGCCACTGTGGCACCTATTGCAGCTCAGGAGGAGCCCCTGCACGAGGCTTGCAAAGAGCTTGGGTCATTCCTGGTGGAGCATCCCCAGGACTCTACTAATAACCAACAGCCTGCCAGTCCTTGGAGCACCTGGGCCTCGGGCTGTGCCTGGGCATTTGGAATTTCTGCAGAAATGTTCTCCACTCATTTGTGCTCAGAGGTGAAGGCCGGCAGTGGGGGTGTGGGAGGTTCAGGCAGGGCACAAGGAGTTTGAGACAGAGCCCCGAGCTGCTCTCCTGCCCTGCAGGGTGTGGGGCTCTGCTGCACCCTGCCCTGCTCTCCCTCCTGGGTGAGGACCCCCTGCTCCTGCCCGGCTGAGGGAGCTGCCCCAGTGTGAGCCCAGGCCCACAGGAGCTGGGCGTGGGGCCAGGCTGGGACAGGAGCTGCAGGACCTGCTCTGCACATCTTGGCCAAAACAGCCCCTTGAAAAGGAAACACTCCCCAGGGCTGCGGTGGGCTGGCCATTGAGGTTGGGTCAGAGAGAAACGGCGTCCCCTGAATGAAGCTCAGCAGCAGCTCAGCCTGGCCGGGGGAAGCGCTCACGGTGACGAGGGAGTGGCATCTCTGAGGGCACAGTGACATCCAGTGGTAGGGGACACTGCCTGTCCCGCGCTTCTGGCAAGGCCCACCACCCTCCTGGAGCTCAGGAAATGGAGCCAGGACAGCTCCCCCAGCCCGAGGGAGCCCTGAGCACCACGGGCAGCTCCCAGCTCCCCAAGGCTGCTCTGGAGAAGCTGTCCAGGCTACAAGCCCCATGTGACACCTCAGGGTGACAGAGATATCCTTAGGGGTGTTCCTGTCAGGGGTGTTCCTGTCAGGGATGTGTCTCAGGGATGCATCTCCCAGGGCTGTTCCTCTCAGGGCTGTTCCTCTCAGGGCTGTTCCTCTCACGGCTGTTCCTCTCAGGGGTGTTCCTCTCAGGGCTGTTCCTGTCAGGGATGTTTCTGTCAGGGGTGTTCCTGTCAGGGATGTGTCTCAGAGATGTGTCTCCCAGGGCTGTTCCTCTCAGGCTGTTCCTCTCAGGGCTGTTCCTCTCAGAGATGTGTCTCCCAGGGCTGTTCCTCTCAGGGCTGTTCCTCTCAGGGGTGTTCCTGTCAGGGATGTTCCTGTCAGGGGTGTTCCTGTCAGGGATGTGTCTCAGAGATGTGTCTCCCAGGGCTGTTCCTCTCAGAGATGTGTCTCCCAGGGCTGTTCCTCCAGGGCTGTTCCTCTTTCAGCTCCTGTTCCAGGACCCAGCACAGGACCCAGCTGAGGACGTGTTCCTGACGGAGCTGCTGACCCAGGTGCAGGACAGCCCGTCCCACAGAGGTGTGTGTGTCCCACCAGCCCCAGCCTGGACAGGGCTCTGCCACCCCCAGGTCCCACCCACGCCCCCCTCAGCCCGCACAGCTCCAAGCCATGGGCAATATTCCTTGTTCCTGGCCTCCAGCTCCCTCCTGGGCCCGGAGATCAGGCTGGTGCAGCCCCTGGTGGCCGCTGGCTCCTGGCTCAGACAGGGTTTGCAGTCTGTGCCTGTGCTTGGCTCCAGCACGCACCAGCTGGGCCTGAGCCCTGATTTAGTTGGGGAAAGAAGCTGGCCTTCACAGCCAGGTGTTTTTCCTGTAGAAATCCAGTTCCTCGAGCTGCCAGGGATGGAACAGGAGTGCCGGGAGGCTGTTCCAGCAGTGCCACCCAGCTCCTCTGTCGGTGCACTCTGGTGCCAGTCCAGTGGGTGTTTGTCACTGAGATTGGCACAGAGCCTGCAGTGAGTCTGTGCCACTGGCACAGAGCCTCAGCTCCCAGGAAAGGGACAGAAGGGACAGAGTGTGACAGAAGGCCATGATGGGACACCAGGGGGGCTCAGTCCAGGGGGGATCCCTCTGCTGAGCACAGACAGGTGGGAGGAGGGAGAGTCAACCCCACCTGGTTCTCTCCTGGCAGAGCTGAGCACAACCAAGAGGAAAAGCACCCTGGATGGGCCTGGCATGGACCTCACAGTGACCTACAGGAGGGTGAGTGGGGCTCCTGCACTCCAATCTCTGCTCCAGCAGGGCACAGATCTCCGAAAGGGGACTGACCCTCCCTCTGTCCTGTGGGATTGCTGTCCAGGCAAGGGCAGAGGGGCTGTGCTGAGCCTGTTAGCTGCCCTGTGCTTATGCCAAGCTGTGCCCAGCCCTCCCCAGGCCAGGGCACTGCCAAGGCACTGCCAGGACACTGCCAGGGCATTGCCAGGGCACTACTAGGGCACTGCCAGAGCAATGCCAGGGCACTACTAGGACACTGTCAGGGCACTGCCAGGGCATTGCCAGGGCAGTACTAGGACACTGCCGGAACATTGCCAGGGCTCTGCCAGGACATTGCCAGGACATTGCCAGGGCACTGCCAGGACACTGCCCCTTGCCCGCAGGTTGTGCTCAGTGACCGGCAGAAGGAGCTGGCCCTGTCCCTGCGCTCCACAGGCCTGCTGATGAAAGCCATCCCTGCTGAGGAGGCTGAAGGTGGGTTCTTCCTCCTTCCTGAGGTTTCTGGTGCTCAGTGCAGTGGATCTGGCCACAGTCCTTGGTGCCAGCTGTGTCTGGGCTCTGGGGGTGGAATCAGTGACAGGAATATTGGTGTCCCCATGGTCTGGTGGGGGTTTTGTCAGGAATGACGTGTCTGAGGCTCAGACAGGATTTCAGCATCTTCCCTCTGCTCCAGCCTTCCTCATTCCGCTGGCCCTTAGCACAGCCTCTGAGCTTTCCACCCAGGCACAATCCCACACAATTCCTGTGCCCTTGGAGCCTGCTGGAGTCCCATGTGTCCACAGTCAGTGACCCAAACGTGGGGCAGGGCCCCCGAGAGCTGAGTTGAGGCTGTGCCATGGCCCCAGACCAACCCTCTGCTTCTGTCCAGACCTGGGCTGCCTGACTGTGACCATCACCGAAATCATCAGGACCAGCAACTTGGCAGGACGCTCATTCTCAGTGAGTCCCCGTGGGATCCTCAGGGCCAAAATCCCTTCAACAGCAGGGAAAGGGGCAACCCCGGGGGGAGGAGAGGGCTTTGGGGCCACCCTGTGATTATTTCCCATGGAGAAGTCTGGATGTTTGAGCCAAAGCCCCAGACACCCTGGGTGTCATCCCTGCTGGTCACTCTCATCCCTGCTGGTCACTCCCATCCCTGCTGGTCAGTGCCATTCCTGCTGGTCACTCCCATCCCTGCTGGTCAGTGCCCTCCCTGCTGGTCAATCCCATCCCTGCTGGTCAGTGCCAGGTTCTGAATACAGAGAAAGGATTCTCTTTGTGCCACATCTGAGGTTTAAAAAAGAATACCAGAGAAATGCCATTTTCTGTCCCTGTCACACCCAGCACGCAGCCCAGGGCAGGGAGGGACAGCCTCAGCAGGCTCTCTCTCCTCTGCCCATCCAGGCTGTGGCAAACAGGTTCAAAACACGGAGTATCAAGGTCAGGAGCCCAGAGCAGAGACCCTTCACGGTGCAGCTGGACAAGGACAGCAGGAGAACCTACAGGGATGTGATCGGGTGAGAGCCCTGCGGTGCCAGCTCTGCACATCTGCCTGCATCCCCTCCTGTCCCTGGTCCTCACCCGTGACAAAACCCCTCGTTCCTTCTCCAGGGACAGCAGGGCACGCTGGGGCTCTCCTACATTTGTGTTTTCAGGAGAGGGTGTGAGGAATAAAATGATTCTTTACACAAGAGGTGCTGTTGAGGCAGGAGAAAAGCAGGCACCTCCAGGGGCAAGCAGAGCTCAGATCTCCCGAATGATGAATTGTACCAGGGTGCTGATGCTCTCTGCACTGCCTGCATCCCTCCCCCCGGGGTCTCCAGCAGGTGCAGGTGGGGGAGAGGACCCAGCCCTGTGGACATGGCGGGGTTAATGTGCCTGGGAGAGCTGCAGGGACATGGAATGTGCTGGTGGTTCAGGGTCCAGCCGACATAAACTGAATTCCTGAGTCACACTGAGCCAGGCTCAGGACCTCGGGTTTGCGTCAAACACTGACAGCTCATCTCTGCAGCCAAACCCAGCCGCAGAAAGCACAAATGCAGCTGCAGGTGGCCGTGGGAGAGCTGGGGTTTGCTCGGGGATCACATCGGAACATGCCACAGTAAATGTGTTCTGTGCTCTTCCAGCCTGGAGGTGTCTCCCTGCCTCGAGCCCAGCTACTGCCTGCAGAAGACGAGGACCACGAAATTCAGCCCTCAGGAAACAGAAGACGTGGGGCTTGTGAAATACCTGCCCAAGTCTCTGCTGCTGCCCATCAACACTTTTGCAGGAGTCATCCCCTGAAGGAGACGGGAGAAGGTGCTGTGAGTGATGACACGGGGTCAGCACAGAGGACACGGGGAAAGAAAACACACAAAAAGCCACCAGTGGTGACTTCACACGGCAACGGTGTGAAGAGCTGCCCCAGCAGAGGTGGATAGGCTCGGAGGGCACAGCCATGCCCTGCTGGTGACAGTGTGACAATGGCCCCATGCCCCCGCCAAGGGCACAGCCGTGCTGCAGGACTGAGCTTTCACCTTTTGCACAGGTCAGGGAAAAGCTTTGAGCTCTCCATTCGGGAAGAGTGAGGAAGATCCGTGCGAGGTGGTGCTGCCTGTCCTGGGGAGCCCAGGGCAGCTGGCAGCAGCAATATTTCTTTTGGAGATGTCTCACAGCCCAGAGGGGCCAGGTTTTCACCTCATTGTTGGTTCTCCCCTGTGCCAGACTGGGGCAGCAAACATTGTGTCCCTGGAGGAAGCTGAGGGGTGGCAGGACCTCTCGGGCACCTCAGGAAACCCCTGCACGAGCAGCTCTTGTTGTTGGCATCGTGTGGGCTCTAAGGGGTGACCCCTCTGCACCCCTCTGCCTCTCCAGGGCTTCCCCGTGGGGTTTGCACACACCAAGAAAAGGCTCAGAAAGCCAAAAGGCTTGGAGCTGGGCTGGGCTGTGGGCTGGTGTCCAGAGTTTGTTCTGTACAGCTGTAAATGTTGTAGATGGATGATAAATTATTTGTATAGGTGTCGTGGATGACTTGTACCGGAGGGTGCAATCCTTTCAGTGCCAATTGAAGGAAATTTAGACAAACCCAAGCCGAAGCTGCCACTTGGTGGTTGTTGTGTGTTTGCACGTGGCTGGGCTGCTCAGGAGCTCCACCTGAACGTGAGGTTCAGTTCTTCCCTGAACAGATTGTCCAGGGACCGTGTGGAGCGTCCCTCACTGGGGATATTCCACACCCGCCTGGACACAATCCCGTTCCATGTGGCTCCTGTCCGTGTTCCCCACGCCTCGGCGGGCCGGGATGAGGGTGAGCCCCGGGCTGGTGCCCTCCGAGCCCCCCGGCTTGTGCGGGGCCGTTGGAACGGGTGAGCGCTGCGGCCCCTTCCAGCCCGGGCCATCCCGGGATGCTGCGCGAGGGGATGCGCCGGGCCATTCCCGTTCCGATCCCGGGCCATTCCCGTGCCAGTCCCGAGCCGATCCTCTGCCGGTCCCAGGCCATTCCCGTGTCAGTACCGGGCCATTCCCGTGCCATTCCCGTGTCAGTACCGGGCCATTCCCGTGTCATTCCCGTGTCAGTACCAGGCCATTCCCGTGCCGGTGCCGAGCCATTCCCGTTCCGATCCCGGGCCATTCCCGTGCCAGTCCCGGGCCGATCCTCTGCCGGTGCCGGGCCATTCCCGTTCCGATCCCGGGCCATTCCCGTGCCGGTGCCGGGCCGATCCTCTGCCGGTCCCGGCCATTCCCGGCCCGGTCCGCAGACGGCGCTGCTCCCCGCCGGTGCCGGGGCGGGGCAGCGGCCGGGCCGGGGCCGCCCCGGTGCCGCAGGTGCGGCCGCTCCGCCCCGCCCGGAGCGGGGCCGGCGGGGAGAGCGGCGGGTGAGGACATGCGGCGGGATGAACGAGCGCTGGGACGTGGGCCGGGCCCTGGCGCTGGCCGCGCTGTTCCGGCTGCTGCAGGGCGCGGCCCGGGGCTGCTCCGAGCCCTTCGTGCCGCTCTACCTGCGGCTGCTCGGGCTGCCCGCGCCGCTGGTGGGGGTCGCGGCCGGGGCCCGGCTGCTGGCGCCGCTCGCCGTGCCGCTGTGCTGCCCGCGGGGCCGCGCCCGGCGCCTGCTGCTGCCGGGCTCGGTGCTGGGCTCGGCCGGGGCCAGCCTGGCGCTCACCCTCATCCCGCCCGCGGGGGATGCGGGGGACACGGGCTGTGACCGCAGCCTGCAGCTCGGCCTGCCCGGCTCCCTGCCCTCCGTGCTGCCCTCCGCTCTGCCCAGCCCGGTGCCCGCCGCAGTGCCCAGCCCGGTGCCCAGCCCCGGCAGGAGCAGTGACACAGCGCTAAAGCCGAGCGCTCTGCCGCACACCAGAGCCGTGCCAGGGGCAGCGGGGACAGCGGGGACAGCGGGGACAGCGGCTGCTGACGTGTGGGCAGCGAGCAGGAAGCCCGCTCTGGGCAGCTCAACCTCCCAGGGCGTGTTGGGCACGGCAGGTGCGCTTCAGGAACGCGGCAGAGGGACTGGGGAAGGTGATCCAAAGGGAAAAGGCTCCTTGGATGGTCCCTCTGGCTGGACAGTGAAAGGCATCGACCAGCCGACTCCGGAACCAGAACGGCCGGCATCCTACGGCGCTCCCTTCCCTGGGCTCCAGGAGGAAACACCAGGCTCTGCTGCCACCACCGATCTTGCTGAATATGCTGAGGAAGGCCTAAATGCTACTCAGAGTAATGAGCCAGCTTTGTTTAAAACAGCTCTTCCCGCTGTTGGAGAAGCCCACGTGTCTGAAAACCTTTCGGACTCTCGAGATGTCAGCTTGGAGGCAGTGCAGAGCATCTCCCAGCACACAGAGTACCAGGTTTTTCTCATGGTCCTGGGCGCTGTGGTGCTTTGGGAGCTGTTGGCCACTTCCCTGGAATGGAGCATGGATGAGAGTGTCTACGAGTACCTGGACTTTGTGGACGCCACGGACAGGTACCAGCAGCTGTGGCTGTGGGGCTCCGCGGGCGCGGCCGCCGGAGCGTGCGGCGTGTCCGTGCTGGTGGATCGGCTGGATTGCTCCCTCGGCGGCTCCGTCCCCCGCCTCGCCGTGCACTTCTACGCTTACGCTGTCCTGGCGATGCTCTCCCTGATGGTCAGCGTCTTCTTTCCCTGCCACGCTGCCAGGCAAAGCGCCCGCGCTGCCGGGCTGGCCAAAGCGCTGTCCGTGCTGCGGGGGCACGGCCGGGCGCTGCTCTTGGCGGGCACCCTGTTCCTCGTGGCCGCTGCCAGCTCTGCCAGCCACACCTTCCTCCTGTGGCAGCTGCAGGACCAGGGCAGCAGCGAGCTCCTCCTGGGGCTCTGGGTGTCGCTGGGGCCGCTGGCAGAGCTGGCCCTTCACCCGCTCGGGGCGCGGCTGCTGCGGGCGCTGCCGGGCGGCGGGCTGGAGGTGCTGAGCCTGGGCGCGCTGGCAGCGCAGCTCCTGAGCTATTCCCTGCTCCGGGCGCCGTGGGCAGCGCTGCCCGTGCAGGCGCTGTCCGGCCTCGGCAGCGGGGCGCTGCGGTGGCGGCTGGAGGGGACGGTGGCGGACGTGGCCCCGGCGGGCTCGGAGCGCGCCCTGCTCGCCCTGCTGCGGGCGCTGAGCGCGGCCGGGGCCGGCCTGGGCAGCCTCGGCAGCGGCTTCGTGGTGCAGCGCCTCGGGCTGCCCGTGCTGCTCCGGGCCAGCTGCGTGGGGCTCGGGCTCTGGGTCCTCGTCTTCCTCGTTGTCAGATCCAGATTGCCCCGGCAGAGAAAAATTAATTATTCCCGGCTCCTGGCTGCTGATTCCAGTGAAATGAGTGACTCAGAGGAGGAGAACGAGAAGGACTGGCTGGTAAAGGCTATGAAGGATGAGGGCTTTGACAGGAATTGGATACAGCAGCATGGGATCAAGTAGTCTGTACGTAAATCTCTGGGGTGGAGTGGGAACCTGGTGTAATGATAATATCCAGAAACCACCATCAGTTCGAAACTGCTAAATATATAGAGGCTATATCTGGCATGAGAGATTTTTATTTTTAAAAAAAGCCCTATAAATCTTATTTTCTTAATTTATAGCATTCTGCATTTTTGTAATTTCTCCTTTTTAACTTGATGATTTTGCTTCCAAAATCTCCAAAGGCTATTTCAGGTGTACATTGACTAAATGAATATAGCTGAGTTTTTAGTCAAAAACCAAACTTGGATTGTTGCTGCCAGGGCTGCTGCTGAGGCTGAGTGACAGTTGTGACCTGGGCTGTGACACAACCAAATGGAAATAATTGACACGCTGACAGCACACAGAACCTTCCAGGGTGGCTGTGAACTCTGCACTTTTTAAGGGATGTGAATAAAAACCTGGTTCATTTGTAAGACAAGGTTTATCCTCAGACCACCCGCCGTGTCGTGCTTTGTGATTTCGGTGGGCTCCTGCTCGGAATCTGCTGGGAGAACCCCCCGGGTGTGCTGCGAGCCCGCGGCTGGCCCAGCCCTGCCGGGCACTTCCTGGCGCTGCTTTGAGGTGTGCCCGGCGTTCCAGGTGGCAGGAAGCAGCCTGGCCGCCCGACAGCTGGCACTTGTGCGGGCTGGGGATTTCCGGAGGGCGGGATGGAATACCTGCCCTGGATCCTGAGCAGGGTCAGCCAGGCAGGGACAGCCACCACCCCAGAGAGAGAAGGGGAATTCATTTCTGTCCCTCACTAAGCAGGGAACCCCCAAAGCAACCCCTGGGCACAGATGCGCGAGCAGAGAACAGCACTCGGTCCGTGCCAGAGGATCTCCTTCACACTGAGTTATCCCAGGTTATTCCCAGCTGGAAGCCACTGGTTTCCAGCCTTCCTCTTTTAACCCGTTCCTGGGTTAAACCTCCTCACCTGCTCTGCCTTCAGCCCCAAGGCACAGATTTCAGCCCCTCTGAAATAGTAATTTCTGCTTCTCAATGGAAAATCGGTGGTCTGGTGTCACCAAAAGATCTTAAACGGGGTTTAAATGAGCCTTGGAGTCCCTCAGCCACAGCAAAGGCTGCTCTCAGTTATCAGGGACTCCCTGGTCAGGGGACCGCATCCTTCCTGTGCACAGGGATGGATTTCAGTCACATCTGCCCGAGTGGCTCACAGGCCCCGAGACAGGCAGCTGCAGAAAGCAGAATATTTATGGAGATGCATATTTAGTGTGGCGTATGCAAATGGCCTGGCAGTGTGTCACCCTGCCGCGTTGTGGGCTCGGCAGGAAGCGCTGCAGACAAGGAAAGGACTCCCGGGCGATCATTCCTTTCTCTGCGTGCATCGATCCCGCATTATCTGTACATCAGATGCTTTCAGGGCAATTAGCTCCCTCTCTTCTGGCGGCGAGCCTCTGTGCCAGCACAATGCTCTGCTGGAATGGCTCTATAGATAGAACTGTCCCCGTGCCAGGAATAGCTGGAACTTTTTATTAAGATGTTATCTTCTCCCGGGAATTCAAACACGAGTGGAGCAATTTTGATGTCAAGAATTTCTGCCGGTCTTATTGCCGTGTAGTACCTGAGGAACAAAGCGTGTTAATGGGGGATCTGCCTGCAGTCAGGCTCATCCCCGCACGCAGCACATCCTGAGCCTTTGTGAGCGGCTCAGAAAGAGCTGGAACGCTTTGAAATGCAGCTGCTGCTTCAGCTGCCAGCGCTGCCCTCGTTAGAAGCCGATTACCTGGGTGAGCCGTGCCCTTTTCATCCGCCTCAGCACAGCAGCAGCTGCTGGAGTCCAGATTCACTGGGAGAAGCCTTGCAGTGACAGGAGCCTGTCCATCCTGGAGCTGTGCAGAGGGGTGACTCCCCTGAAGCTGCACCGAATGTGTTTAATGGATTGATAATCTTAAAAAAAAAACCAACCCTTTATTGTGCAAGATTATCACACTGACATTGAGCTTTGGGCATCCCCTTAAATCCTGCCCGTCCACAGCACGAGCACCTCTCCCTAAGGAGGGGCAGGGGAAGGTCCCACTGAAACTCCTCAGAATTCCAGGACCTGGGGGAGGCTGCTCCTGTCCCTGATTTGCACTTCCCTCTGCACGGAGGATTTGCCCCGGAGGATTCCATCCAACCCAGCAGCTCCAACGGTGTGTGAATTGTATCCTGGCTGT